AATGCTAAATCAACGTTAGCTCTTTTTTTGTCACAGGAAAAAATGGGACAGAAATTCCAAGAGGTAGATTGTGGACAAATCAGGGAGAGGCTCAAATGACTGGTTATGAGGTTGTATTGCAGGTTTTTGAGTAGAAGCATATACATATACACAAAAGAAGATATTGTGGGTGAGAAGGCTGAATAGGTGTCAGAGCACAGGGAATCTAGCCCCAGCTCCTCCTCGGGCTATGAACGAGCAAATCCCATGACACCACTAGGAGTCTATGTGTCCTCTAAAGTCCCTTCCAAATTCTACATTGCAAAGTGGTACAGACTTGGGCTGTGGTGGTGACAGTGACCATGGATAGGCAGGGAAAGCTGTGACTGCTTGGTGACTGCCTAGGTAATGAGGGACCAGATGAAGGGAGACACGAGAGAAGATTCCAGCATTCATTTGAGCCAGGATGAAGAAGTTGGGAAGAGAGCAGGTTTGGAGGAAAGAAAAGTGACTGTAGTTTGGACATGGTGAATTTAAGATGACAGCAACACATCCTAGTGGAAACCAATGTCCAGGATGGTTAGCAGTGGTGGACCATGGATTCTTCCAGCATGTGCAGGACAACAGTTGGAAGCCATGAGAATGAATGCCATCAGATCATCTTGCCTCTGATGTCCTATGACCCAGAATGTGACCTTGATGGCTAAGAGAAAAGTCTGTGAAAAGACAGGCTCAGGTTGGGTTCAGTGCCTCATGCCTGTAATCCTATCACTTTGGGTAGCCCAGGTGGGAAGATCACTTGAGGTTAAGAGTTTGAGACCAGCCTGGCCAACATGGTGAAATCCCATCTCTACTAAAAATACAAAAATTAGGCTGGGCGCGATGGTTCACGCCTGTAATCCCAGCACTTTGGGAGGCCAAGGCAGGTGGATCACATAAGGTCAGGAGTTCGAGACCATCCTGGCCAACATGGCAAAACCCTGTCTCTACTCAAAATACAAAAATTAGCCATATGTGGTGGTGTGTGCCTGCAATTCCAGCTACTTAGGAGGCTGAGGCACAAGAATTGCTTAAGCCCAGGAAGCGGAGGGTGCAGTGAGCCAAGATCGCGCCACTGCACTCCAGCCTGTGCAACAGAGCGAGACTGTCTCAGAAAAAATAAAAGGGGGGTGGTGAAAGTAAATGCTGAAACCAACAGAAATGGAAATTTGTAGGTGCCCCTTAGACCCCTGGGGATCAGCACACAGGGAGAGTTGAAGGAAATGTTCACAGGAGATCCCAATTTCAAAGAAGTTGTCGCTGGAAGGCTGCAGCTTTGTCCCTGGTCTCCAGGATCTGGCTCTGGCCCTGGCAGGAAGCCAATCCACTTCCCCTCCAGATTGCCCCAGCTGCTGCTGTGGGTTTTCCTTCTCTGCTCTTTTCCTTCTCCTCTCCCTTTAGGGGGCCTCTGACAACCTGAAAAGTCACTCCAGCCATCTTGTCACTGCCCAATTGTTACCCATGCCCTCTCCTACCCTCTGAAGTTCAAAACTTCGGTGTATAATTTCCATGTGTCAAGTAAAAAATGTTGGCTTTGAAATACAGTTGCAGTAAGGCGCATTTCATTTGCCTTTCTTGTAATTAGGAGACAAGACCTAGGAGCTGTCATGAATGTTTGTGAGATCACAAATAAATCAGTGGCTCTGGGTTCACCAGGGAGGACACGTCCCCTTGCTGGCTTGAGTGGGCAAGCAGGCTGCAATGGAGACTAAGGTTAGAGTGAAGTGGCAGTGGTGATGGTGGCAGTGACATGCTGGTGGTGGTACTGGCAGGCAGCCATAGATTTCCAAAGTAATTGGTAAGAGTTCCTGACCCCCAAAAAAGCAAAGTTTCTGGTGGCACTAGGACATGAACTATTTTACAACCTCTCCAAGATGGGTAATTTCCAAGGATCTAGTGCCAACTGGCCCTACTAGGCAATTAACTAATTCATTCAGCTTCACTGACTGAGCAATGAGTTCATGACCAGGGTCAGGACAGCTGTGGACACTAGCAATAAGGAGCATGTTATGTCTAGCTTCTCTGTCAGAGGACTGAATATTGGGAGGGAAAAAGGGGGTATAATGTGATTTGGGGTCTGGCACGGTGGCTCACACCTATAATCCCAACACTTTGGGAGGTTGAGGCGTGCAGATCACTTGAGGTCAGGAGTTCGAGACCAGACTGGCCAACATGGTGAAACCTCATTTCTACTAAAAATGCAAAAATTAGCCGGGTGTGGTGGCATACCCCTATAATCCCAGCTACCCAGGAGGCTGAGGCAGGAGAATCACTTGAACTTGGGAAGCAGAGGATGCAGTGAGCCAAGATTGCATCACTGTACTCCAGCCTCAGCAACAGAGCGAGAGTCCAGCTCAAAAATAAATAAATAAATAAATAAAGTGATTTGGGCCTTGAGTCATGCCAATCCACATGGGAATTCAAGCTTGTGGGGAGTCTTGAGCAAAAGCCCACTCTTCTCCAAACAGATACACTTTACTTTTCCTTCCAGCTCTTCCTCTAGCTATAATACTTTAGTAGCCAACCTCCCTGAACCCAGTTCCCCTTTTCCCAGGTCTTGTTGCTTTCTCACTTCTGAGCCTAATCCTGATCTCACGTCCTTTCCTTGAAAATGTCACATTAATCACAGAGATTGAGCTCCGCAAGTGCCCCCATCATCTCCCTCCACATCCTCCCAAATCCCTCCAGGATGAGGCTGCGCCTGTTTCACTTCCCACAGTTTTTCATCCAAGCTTGGTTCAAGATTTGTCAGTTCTTAGTTAAGTCTAGTTCAGTCTCATAGGCCGTTTTTTGTTTCAGTTCTTCCAGGCACTGGGCCAAATGACCCATTCAAGGCTGATAAAAACTCACTGACCTAGGCACAGGAAGTTCTGGGAGGTGAATGAATTTCTGGGTGGTCCTAAAATAAATCCTTTCCCTCTTGTGCCTAACCCTAGAACAACCTACTGAGTCCACAGTCTGACCTGGAACATGTCATGGAGGTAGGAGGAATAGGTGACACTACTCTTTCACCAGTTTGTAGAAACTTGGTGAAATCAATTATCTTCTGGGCCTCAGCTTCCTTCTTTTTTTTTTTGTTTTTAAGTTTTCGAGACAGGGTCTCTCTCTGTCACCCAGGCTGGAGTGCTATGGTGCAATCTCAGCTCACTGCAGCCTCTGCCTCCTGGGTTCATGCAATTCTCCTGCCACAGCCTCCTTAGTAGCTGGAATTACAGGCATGCACCACCAGCTAATTTTTGTATTTTTAGTAGAGACAGGGTTTCACTATGTTGGCTAGGCTGGTCTCGAAGTCCTGATCTCAGGTGATCCACCCGTCTTGGCTTCCCAAAGTGTTGGATTGCAGGTGTAAGTTACCATTTGGATTGCAGGTATAAGACACCATGTCTGGATATTTCCTTCTTTATAAAATGATTTTGAAGGCCCCTTTCGGCTCTGATAGTCTAGGATACTATGCACAAGGTCAATTGGTTTTAAGCACTTCATAGGCTTTCTTTCATATCATTTGCAGTATATAAAGTTTAACTTCCAGGACTTGCCTAGAGGTAGAGCTTATTTTTAAAAAAGAGGGCTAGTTCTGATTCAACAGTAGACCTAAACGTTTGGTTGGACTTGGATCTGCTTCAAATTTCCAGGAGACATGAAGCATAATGATGTGTAATCCTTACCACCCAGACCCTTACTCTCCCAGTGAGGAGCTGGAAACAGACTGCTCACTGAGGGACACATACGGGAGTACCTGTCTGGGGTTTCACCAATGTTATGTGGAGGGGACTCGGCTTTCTAAATATGAAGCTTCTGGGAAATATATTGAGTGGGGGCCAGTGGTGAGGTGAGGGGAGCCCAGGGTAACTACAGACTACCAAAGGCAGGGATTATGTTTAGGAGCCACGGGGCTGAAACTGGGGACAAAGTGTTGATGGTCTCAGGCCAGGGAAGGCCACTTTGGGCTAGTGCATCCCCAGCTCAGTGAACACTGGCGGCAAACTGGTCCTCTGTCCCAAACCCATAGCAGATCCTGTAGAGTTTTCTTTGGCTCCGAGAAGCAGAGGCCTCCCCTGAGCCCTGGCCCCCCTCTACCGCAAAGCAACTGGCTTCCATTACCCCTGACAGCTCCAGAGCAACAGCCCAGCCCCCGGCCCCGGCCTGGCTCGGTGCCGTTACCTTTTATGGTGAAGCTGAGAAAGCATGGAGTGAGGGGGGAGAAAGTTATGGCTGGGCAGAGGCTTGGAGAGTTCCAGGGTGCCTCTGCCCTCGCCAGAGACCCTCGGGTACCCGCAGCCACCGCTCTTCCTACTCTTCTGCGACCCAATCTGTCCTGAACCCAGGACCCCTCTTGCTTGTTCCAACCCTTCCTCCCCTTCTCCATTCCTCCTCTTCTCACTCCCTCACATCCGGGGGGTGATTTCCCACTTGGCCGAAGTCCCAAGGCTTGGGTTTTGATTCCGGGTGGGTCCGCCCTATTTCCGACGCCCACTTCAGGGAGTGGGGTGGAGGGAGGGAGCCCGGCTAAGACGGACCCTGGTCAGATCACAGACAGGATCTTTCTACTAGGTTGCATGTGGGTCACGAAGGCTAGCGCCGGAGAAAGAAGCACCCGGCAGCCCCAGCCCTGTCCCCATTCTACACCGCCTCCCACCCCCGTCCCTGCTGCCCGAGCCAGGGAGAGGACACTGAGGGCAGGACCCAAAGGAAGCACCTGGTTGGGCCGGGCCGGGAAGCGAAGGGTGGGCAGCAGTACGGAGGGCCGGGGCCGGAAGGGGGTTGGAGTAGCTCGCCGCCCCGCCGCTGCACCATCGCCCCAGCCCACTCTTCGGCCCCGGGGAGGCGGCTCCCACGGCTTCTCTAGCCGCCTCCCAGGCCACGCCAGCTGCGGCCAGCTGTGCGGTGCCTGGCCCAGGCGCGCGTCCGCGGCCCCGCCCCATCCCCTAGGGCTGGACCTCCCACCGCAGCTGATCGCGGCCGGGAGCGAGCGCAATACGCGGAGCCGACGAGACGGCTGGGCTAGAGAGGCCGTCCCGACCGCGCCCCCCGCCGGAAGCGGCTGGTTCGGGCCTGAGCTGGCGCTACGAAGTTCCGGTCCAGGTCTCCTACCTCGGGCTTGTTCGCAGGCGGCGTCGGAGCCGAGTCGGACTGGTCAGGTGAGAGGCACGCAGGCGCCCACGGCAGGGTTGGCCCGTGGGTTGAGGACGGGTCCTTGCGAGGGCGAGAAGTGCGCCAGCCAGCGGCTCAGTCCTTCTTTCCTCCGCAGGATGATCACGGACGTGCAGCTCGCCATCTTCGCCAACATGCTGGGCGTGTCGCTCTTCTTGCTTGTCGTTCTCTATCACTACGTGGCCGTCAACAATCCCAAGAAGCAGGAATGAAAGTGGCGCTTTCTCTGCCCCAGGTAACGGCCCGGGGCTGTAGCGCCCAGCCCCCAGAGAGGAGTGGTGAGGCCGCGCCAGGGCCAGCAGGGTTCGAAGCTTCCAATCAGCAAGTGTCGGGCCAAGCATGATACAGTCCAGAACTGGGCCCCTTTATCTGCAGAGTAGAGAGCGCGCTGTCCCCTCCCCCTAAACTGTTCCCGGCTAGAATGGGAGAGAGTTTCCTAACCCTAACAGACCCCATCTTGTGGTCCCCAGTAGGTAGATGCCCAAGTTGAGAGTACAGTTGTTAAGGAGGCATTAACACCAATAGGAACGAAGGGACCAAGGATACCGTCCAAGTATGAGGATTTGGGCTGTTAAATAGCCCTCACTTTCTCCAGGTTGTTTAGGCCTTATTTACACAGAATATTCTGTTTCCATGTTCTGAGGCCAGGAGTTGGCTGCTGTAGACCCAAACTATAGAGAAGGAAGGGGGGGGTTGGGGGGGGTTGGGAGCCAGCCGTAAGTAATGGGTCACAAGTGTAAAGGGAACATGGATGGGCGTTACTTCCTGAAGGATTCCCCGGAGGAAAGCTGCAGCATTTTCCTTACCTCAGGTCTTTCCCCCTTTTTTCTAGGATTCCAGGACATAGTCTGAGGCAAGATGGAGGGTATGAGGGGCCTTCACACTTCAGTTCATCCCTTCTACCCATCACAACATACAAAGCAACTACACCTGGATTTTTCCAAACAACTTTTATTTCCTCAGTCTTCCTTAACCCTATGGAACAAGAAGCTGCCACTCAATAGGGCCCAGTTTAGGGGTTGCTTTCTTTCCTTCTCCCTCCCCCCAATATAAAAATATAGATATATTTTTTTGTGGTCCCAAAATCTTGTGCTTCGGAGGGAGGGAAGGGGTGGCAGGTCCCTGTTTTGTCTTGTTTCAAGGTGATGCTCTGTAATGCCTTGGACAGTGTGGCTGGCATTCCAAGGACTTAACGGCTATCGTGGAATCAGCAGCCTGGAGGCAAACTAGCATATTTCCCACTGTGTTACCCCATCTTGGGGCTATATCGTGGGCTTAAACATAAAGGCATTATCAGACCCGGGGAGAAACAGTGAGTGGGGGAGATTTAGGGACAAAACAAACCTCAGGTTGGCCCAAGGGACCCCCGCTGTAACAATTCCAGGACGGGGAGTCAGATAGACTACAGGATATAGGAGAAAAGGCAGGGGCAGAGCGGGGCCGTGGGGGCCTGGCCCGAGGCAGCCTGCAACAGAGAAGAGAGAGGAATCAGGGTTGTGAAAACTCTGCTCCTCTTCTGTTCTGCTAACCAGGGGATGGGAGGTAAAAGAAGTGGAGCAAAATGATGCTGGGTAAGGATGGACAAATTGTGACTGCACGGTGGTCTGATGCTCTTAGGCCTTAGGCCCTAACTAAAAGTTGTTTTCTTTTCCTGTGGAGTGAAGACTGTGGCCATGGTGGGGGGAAAAAAAGATATCAGGGACTAGATTCTTAATTAAAGTACATTTAGTCTTTGTGCTCACAAGGAGTAGGGAAGGCAGAAAATTATTCTGAATGACAGAAATGGGAATGAGGTGACAGAAGTGAGGAGTGGGGTGAGGGATTGGACCCCAGTGCTCACCCTGGTGTAGCAGAGCAGGGTCCCGGCTCCAGCTCACTGCTCTCCCTGGTCCGGGGGACAGGGGATGTGGGACCTGAAGAGTCTTTCATCCCTCTGCGAGTCGGCGGTGAGCTCCGGCCCAACCTGGGCCTAGCCTGTGTGGACAGGGAGTGTGCTAAGAGACTGGATTCTTCCATGAGTTTTTTTGCTTTAGTTTGCACCTAGAATTTCCATGCATAAGAGTGTTACGGGGATCAACAGAGGTACTGGGACATTGAATTCTAGCTGAAAGAGTGAGACAAGATAATAGCCAGAGAAGTCCTGGATTCAGTCCATGACTGCACTCCAAGTCTACATAACTAGGGGTGGCAAAAGGATCCAGCATTTACCCACCATGGCAACACCACGGCTAAGGTCTGGTTGAGTAGAGAAATACTCTAGAAAGATAGTGGAGGGCTGGTAGACCTCTCTCAGAGCCTTCTGTGCCTCAGCCCCTGCCAGAGCAGCATACATTTCACCCATCCAGTCAGCTTCTGCCTACACTCAACTTTACCTAGCATGGGGATCTGGACTGAATCGGAGTTGGTGGCAGGGCTGTTCCTAGCAGCAGCAACCAAATGTGTTACCTGGGGAATCCGGGACCCCTCCTGGCGGAAACTCTCCTCGGGCAGGTCTGGGCAGAAAGAGAGGAGAAGCTAAGGGGAGGGGCAGGGAAAGCCAAAGCTAGCAGGCTGAGGTTGGGGTATATCTGGCAGGGACACAGGCTAAAAGCAAGCAAGGGACCTGGCTGATGGGGATGGTGGAGGGCAGGAAGGGGACTGGACAGACAAGCACTCAGGCATCCGAGCAGCCCTCTGATGTGGCCAGGGGTAGAGGCAGTAAAGCAGTACTGAGCATTTTCCCTCCCACTACCCAGAGGAACAGTGCATTGCTGGGTTCTGCTAGAGTAGTTGTGCTGGAGACTGGGGAGGAACCAAAAATATTACCTGCAGTCGAGTCTTGATGCAGGGCATCTGAGCTCCAGTCCCTAGCAGACCTTTCCCAATTACCATGACAGGTTCTGGTTTGTCCCCAGAGGACAAGAGTGAACAGCTGCTCCCTAGGGAACAGAGGAAACTGATCAGGGTTGGGGCCACAGACAAGAGGAGGTAACTTACTTTCGATCAGGGTTTCTCAACCTTGGCACGTTGACATTTTGGGCTGGATAATTCTTTTTTGTGGGGAGTGGTCTTGTGCATTGTAGGATGTTTAGCAGCATCCCTAGCCTCTAACTAATATATTCGGTTTCCTCACCTCCCTCCTCCTCAATGTAACAACCAAAAATGTCTCCAGATGTTGCCCGATGCCACCTGGGCAGCAAAATTGCCCCTGGTTGAGGCTCTAGTCTCGTCCAAGGGGTGGAGCAGCAACTCCAGGCTAGACTCAGAACGCACCCAAGCTTAACTCCTGTGTCAATTTATACGCTGCAGGGCCTACCCCAATCATATGTTTAGCATTTGAGGATCAAGTCAGCTCTATCTAGGACTGGTGGATTCAGTGCTACCCATTGAGGAGAATTGACAGGTTGGAAGTAGGGGCCTCTGAGTAAGTAGAACATGCTGGACTAGAGTCTTAGAATCATTCCCATCCAGTCCTTTAGATAGCTGGGTCTATAATTTAAAAGGAGAAGAGATGGCTTAAGTTTTGTGTGAGTGATACGGCTACACACAACATTTGGCAGTGTTGACAGGTGAAAGATCTATGTTTTTTTCATTCTCCTGTCTTGTCTAATGTTGCCCAGCTCCTGAAGTCAGGGAACTTGCATAAGTATCACTTTGCAGGTAGACAAAGTCCTCAGGTTCCTCAAATGAGGAAAATGAGGATTAAATGAGATTAAGTGTGTAGAGCAGTGCCTGGCACATATTAAATGTGAACTATTGTTGTATTACACAAAGACATTAGTAAATTCCACCTGCCTATTCAAAGGCACCAGTGTTAGAGGTTTAGGATACCAAGAAGATAACTGATGTCCCTGGTCTCCCAACTAAAGAACCTGGGCTGGTTATGGAGGAGGCTGGCCAGCCCAGATTTCAGTGGCAACAGGTACAGACCTGGTATGTTGAGTGAATCGGGCAGTAGACAGGAGCCCAGCTTGTGTGAGGAGGCTGGGCCAAAACTAGCAGGAGCTGGGGATGGAGCCAGGCTGCCTGCAGGAGGACGATGGTTCAGTGGCTGCTGCCGCCGTCTCCTGTCCTGGCTTCGGGGCTCTGAGTGGAAGAGATACAAGCAGATAAAAGGGCAAGTAAGTGGGGCACTATGAGGCAGCCTTCACCGACTTGCTGGCTCCCGTGGTCAAAAGATGCCTGTTTTTCAAGCTTGTCGTCAGACCCACATCCCTCTCCTACAGTAACTATTCTACTATTTATTGCAATTATCCAGTTCTCCATCAGCCTTCATCCTGCCAGTTTTTTTTCTGTTTTATTTTTTGAGACAAGGTTTCCACTCTGTCACCCAGGCTGAAGAAGTGTACAATGGCACAATCATGGCTCACTGCAGCCTCAACCTACCAGCTTAGGTGATCCTTCCACTTCAGCCTCCTGAGTAGCTGGCACTATAGGTGCCTGCCACCATGCCCAACTAATTTTTTGTATTTTTAGTAGAGATGGGGTTTTGCCCAGGCTGGTCTTGAACTCCTAGGCTCAAGAGATCCACCCACCTTGGCCTCCCAAAGTGTTGGGATTGCAGGTGTGAGCCAGCATACCTGGCCCAGTTCATTCTTTTGGCAAAGAAGCTACTGAGCTTGGCTAACACAGCTTTCCTTGGTTCCCCTCCTACCACTAATTGCTTCCCTTCCAGCTGTTCTTCCTGCCCCTTAAATGTCAAGTCTTCCCCACCATTCTGTCCTTGGGCGTCTCTTGCTCTACTTAATCTTAAACTCTGAAATCACTCTCTACCCCTTTTCTCCTGAAATCCAGTTCTAACTGTCCACTGGAAATTTCTTCCCAAAAGTCCCCTTGACAAAACAAAACTCATTCCCTTTCTTTCATTCTCCTTGTCTTGGTGGAAAACCTTGTTTCATCTTTATACTCCTCCCTTAGATTTGCATTTGTGTAATTAAATCCTGCAATTCTATCTCTGCATTTTCTGTCACCTAGGCTGTAGTATGGTGGCATGAACATGGTTCACTGCAGACTTGACCTCCTGCATCCCAAGTAGCTGGGACAACAGGTAACGCTACCAAGCCCAGCTAATTTTTAATTTTTTTAGAGGTGGAGTCTTGCCATGTTGCCCAGGCTGGTCTGGAACTCTTGGGCTCAGGCAATCCTCCTACCTCAGTTCCCAAAGTGCTGGGATTATAGGTAGGAGCCATTGCACTGTGCTTGAAGATCTTCTAAAGTCTAAATCTTTGAATGCCACATATTCAAAGCTTTGCCTACTGTAGTTCCAGTCTACACGTGCTTAGTAGGATGCTGATTTGATCCTTCATACCCTCTGCTATAGCCCATGTGGCTACTAGTTGTGTGTGGTTCCTCTGGAACTGTTTCCTTTTCTAGTGAAACCATGACCATCTTTGGTTTCCCATCTCAAATGTTACCTCTCTGAAGCTTACTTGACCATTACGGGCAGAATTAATTGTCCTCTCCTCATTACCTTCATCCTTCGTTTGAGTGGCTAGTAGTTTATGGTTTCTGTTTAAGTTAGAATGTGTAAAGTACTTATGGGCACATAGTACTCAATAAACATAAGCTAGTATTCTTTCTAAGTGGAACTTGAGTTTCTTGGGAGTAGGGACTTTGTTGCCTCAAACACTATATAACCCAGTGCCTGTAAAATACTGCCTGAAAAATCAGAGACCTTAATCAATGTGTTGTTTACTTGAACAGCAGATACCTGCTGTACACCATGAGCTAGATCGATCATCTCGCAGAGTCTAAAGGTATATAATTATATTCTTTGGGGCAGCTGTCTCTGGATCACTCATGTCTAGAGCCTTCCAAGTTCTGAAGAGTGGGGTCCAGAGGGCAAATGGTGAATGTGTGCGGTAGGGAGGCTTGCAGCTTTGGCGTGTCCTTCCTCATCACAGAGGAACAGCAGGTGCCAAATACTCTCAAACTGAATGGGCTGTTAACTTCATAGAACTGAATTCACTGGAGATGCCAACATGCCAACTGACCCCTAATAAACGTGTTGGATGCAAAAATCCTCTAACTTAAAAAGTGACAGTAACTTCATCTTCCCAGTCACACTGGGAATTAGCAGGCAGTGACAAGAATACTTTTGAAAGGTCCCAAACCAGGCGGGGCATGGTGGCTCATGCCTGTAATCTCAGCACTTTGGGAGGCTGAGGCAGGTGGATCACTTGAGGTCAGGAGTTCGAGACCAGCCTGGCCAACATAGAGAAACCTGGTCTCTACTAAAAATACAAAAATTAGCTGGGCATGGTGGCGAGTGCCTGTAATCCTAGCTACTCCAGAGGCTGAAGCACGAGAATCACTTGAACTCAGGAGATGGAGGTCGCAGTGAGCCAAGACTGGCTACTACACTCCAGCCTGGGTGACAAAGTGACATGGTTTCAAAAAAAAAAAAAGAGAAAAGTCCCAAAGTGAGAAAAAAAAAAAACAAAAACGGATACTTGTATAAATAAAGAAAAAAGGAAGCGATCTCAAAATGGAAGCTACTGTAGCTATGATGAGATGTGCTTAGGTGCTGGGTACTAATTATAGATTTAAGATGGTGAAGAGTCAAAAATGCCAGCCATGGTGGCTCACATGCCTTGGGAGGCTGAAGCGGCTGGATCTCTTGGCGTCTGGGAGTTTGAGACCAGCCTGGGCAACTTGGCAAAACCCCATGTTTACTAAAAAAAAAAAATAGAAAAATTAGCCAGGTGTGGTGGTGTGCATCTGTAGGCCCAGCTACTAGGGAGGCTGAGGCTAGAGGATCACTTGAGCCAGGGACATGAAGGTTGCAGTCAGCTGTGATCACGCCACTGCACTCCAGCCTGGGTGACAGAACGAGACTCTCAAAGAGTCAAAAACAACCAGACGTTAGGGGGCTACTGAGAGATGGCACAGGTTGCCAATAGGATAACAGAAGTCAGAGACCGGCCACAGTCAAATAACCTAAAACATTAGCCACCCCCAATGACTTAGAGATAGTCTAGGGCCCAGATCTGAGTAATTCTGTGATTAAAATGGATGTCAGGATGATGTCCAGCTGACAGTACACAGTAGGCAGAAATCATGGACTTGACAGAGGAAATAGTGAGTTAATTTGAGAAATATCTACACACAGAGGCATGTTGAAACCATGTTAAGGGACAAAGTTTCACCCTACCACAGGAAAGGGTAAATGCAAGGGAGAAAGAACAACCAAGAGTGATGTGATCAGCTTTGCCTCCAGAGGTTATGAAATGGTATCTTATGGTAACCAGCTAGAGGTTCCATTTTGGGGGTGGTAGGATAGTACTGGGCAGAGGTCTGAGGGGAGACTGACCCCCCCCCCTTGAATGAGTCAGAATGGGTGTTCTAAGGTCTCACAATTTAGAGCAGCAGTTATTTGACTTGCACCAAGGTCCTGTGTGTCATCCGAACATCTTTGGAACTGTCCTTACATGTAGCACTCCAGATCTTACTGAATCCCTGGGACAATCACAGACCTGATTTATGCCCTCTGAGGGGTAGAAAGGTGAGACAAACATTCATCTGGTTCCCAACTTCTTGCTTTTTATTCATTCAACAAATACTTGCTGATCACTTACTTAGTGCCAGGCACAGGACTAGGTGCTAAGGGCATAATTCGATGTGTTAGGAGACACTTCCTGAAGCTTTTGTTTGCAGTGGAAAAAGTAGCCTTAAAGCCCTCTTAGTTCTTCTGTCTTCTACCATCACTGAATCCCGCCACTTCTCTTTCTAATACTTACATTTATCTCTCCTCAGACCCTGGTACTGGCTCTGGTGATCTCACCTCCTGTTTTTCTGTCCAATATGTACAGTTCACAGACAGTGTCTTACACAGTTCAGTCTCTTACATTTATTCCCATTCTTAGAAACACAATTGTTGCCATTGTCTCAGTTAAGCTCATAATCCTTGTTCCCAAGATATTTCAACTACTCTCTTTACCTAATTTCCTTGGTGATGGGCATGGCCTTTGGCATACCACCTAGTATACATGCTTTTTGTCCTCTCCACCCACCAGCTCTGTTTCTAGGTCTGTTCCTGCTCCTGGCTGTCATTTCTCACTTTGGGAATGTTTCTGTTAAACTATGTGCTACCCATTCTTGAAACTATTTCTTAACTGAACATTCTTTGGTTAATTACTCTTGTGTTTAATCTACCACAGTTGTTCCCCAAACCCCTAGGATGTTTACAGTCTGTGTGCACCCTCATGTTGTATTTACTGTCCTGTTACCCCTATTAAGCTTCAAGCCAATCAACCAGGAATTACTTAGTACTGACTGTGCATATTTTCTATCAGTAGGGGGAAGTAACAGAGAAATAGAATACATGTCCTTCGCCTCAAGGAGCTCAGTACAGTGTTGTGCAATGGAAGTGGGGCAGGGAGGATGTCAATAAAATAGTGATTAAATAGTGCCTAGACGGGCGCGGTGACTCATGCCTATAATCCCAGCACTTTGGGAGGGGCACCTGAGGTCAGGAGTTCAAGACCAGCCTGGCCAACATAGTGAAACCCCATCTCTACTAAAAATACAGAAAATTAACTGGGTGTGGTGGTAGGCATCTGTAATCTCAGCTACTTGGGAGGCTGAGGTGGGAGAATCACTTGAACCTAGGAGGCGGAGGTTGCAGTGAGCCGAGACGGCACCATTGCACTGCATCCTGGGCAACAAGAGTGAAACTCTGTCTCAAAAAAAAAAAGGGGGGCGGCCTAGAATATTCCAGTGATAACCTAGAAAAGGCTCTTTACTATTTCCCTTTGTAGTCAGGAAAGGAGAACTTACGATGCTGATGAAGGAATTCCATGTCATGTCAGTTCCAGCCTGATACCACTTTCGTAGTGAGCTCTGAAGTCAGGAACAATTTCAGCCCATAAAGACCACAGATAAAAGTCCCCATCATTCTACAGTGCTGCAATTTGGATTCTGAGGACATTCCTTTAACTGCCTCCATGAAGACAGATTGACGCTGTCCTTGACATGGAAGCTTCATGTCCTGTTTGGCACTGCTTCAGCTAATATTTCATCCTTGGAAAATCCCCTGGTTCCTAGCATGCACTCAAGCCCAGATACTCAGATGTCCCCCTGTGGCCATACACAATACCGCTCTGGAATCATGCCGCAGGGAACACCAAGGTCATAGGAGAGGCCACAGGTTCTGCTACAAACTAATTTTATTGATTCACCCCTTGGTCCTGGGCCAAGAGTATATCTTCAAATTTTTACTTCCCCCAGCAATGCCCCAAACAACCAAACACATGTTGCAGGGGCTTCCAGACTGGCTTACCTCTGACGGGGCCCAGCACCTGGTGGGTGACCTTTTGGGTGCTAGAGCCCAGGCCTGGCAGCCCTGCAGGCCGACTGCCATGAAAAGGAAAGCTGGGGGAATTCTTCATCTGTGGAGAATTTTGTTGGCTGCTGCTGCTACCACCAGCACTTGTGCCAGTGCTAAAACTTCGTGCCCGGCTCAAGGTGTTTTTGGAGCAGGAAACAGGCAACCCACTGCAAAGAAGCAGATGCCAGTTAACCCTGGGCCAGGAAGGTTGTGTCCTAAGGCTTTCCCTAGGATTTGATGCTAAGTAAAGCTTCACCTATGGGGTAAAAAGGCACAGGGACCCGTTCCAAGAGAGAAGTGAGGAATTCATGTCCATGGATGAAGTATCCAACCTGGGTTATACCAGCTAATCTCAAAATGTCATAAGGGCCATCCCTGAGCAGCTTTATCTCCCAATGAATTTCCCCCCTACTGCCTTGGCACTGACCCTTCAACTCCCTTCAGTCAGTCATTCACAACCCTTGGAAGTTGTGGCCTGCCCCACTGCAATTATATTTGATTTTGTGTAAGACTCTGGAGCAGGGAATCCCTAGCCTGACACTCAGATCTCGTAGATGTATGTAGCTCAGAGTAAAAAGGAAGAGGATCCCATTCTCAAAAAATAAACTAATCTTACTAATTTTAATTTACCCTAAAAATATTTGCCATTTGGCACTTTGAGGAGGAGGGAAGATATATAAATCCCTTGGAACTCCTAGCTCCAGAGCCCTGTCCCACTCTCCTATCCTTTCTCCCTCCTATTTTGCTGGCCTTACTTGTGACTTTTGAGTGGAGTTCGTGGGCCCCTCTTCTTGTTGACACCCACATTCAGAGTGCTGCTTAGGCCTCGGCTGTTGCGTACATGTTTCAGCATCCAGGCCCGTAGATTAGTAAGGCTGCTGTGCTCTGACAGCACAATTCGGGGCCACGGATTACATTCTGCCATGTCCAGAGCTGCGATGGCCATAGCTCTTCCCACCTGTAGGGGAGTCCAGTTTGGCTCAGCATGCTAGTCCTCCCATGCAGGCTGCTATCTTGGGGTGGTACACAGCACAATGGAAGGGAAGGAGGGGCCAGACCTATAATTTGCTCATTGGATGTCCTAACCTTTGTTCCCAGGCTGTTTACTGTAAATGGATTTGGAGCTGTTCCCTAAGCCCATTTGGGAGCCCTCATCCATTATGGGGGCAGGGGTGTGTCCTTTCTGGCTAGCACCATGAAGGAATTCTCCCAGCAGGAAAGGGTTTTGAATTCCTTCTGTAACCTGCAGCTGTTTGTACTCTTATGTGTCCTAGGATAATGGGAATCATCAAGACCACTGCAGTCAGGGTGCGTTTGAGCCCAGGAATTAATAAACCCAGTAGAATGAGAAAGATAAACCCAGGGGCAAAGAATCTGACTCAGATGTGCTAGGGCATTCTCTGTGATGTGGGGTCAGATATAGTGCCCGTTCATCCTTTCTATACTATTATAGTTATAGTTATGCTCCTGTTAATGGAAGAAAATAACCATAGTGGCGAGAGGGCCATAGTGATGAATATCTCTTCAAAGGACCTTAGAGTCAGGCATTAGGAGTGAAGGCCTTTCCAGACTTTAAGGTTCCCCCTTTTCCCACTTACACCATGTATTCATACCTGCTCAAATAGTTCCACAGTGTATCTGGAGGGGAAAGCCGGTGGGGGAGGGGGGCTGGCGCGCCCATTGTCATGGCAGGCAGCAGGGATGCTGTTTACTGAGCGTCCAGTGTTGTAGTTGCATTCAAGTGTGTAGCTAAGACATAAAGACCTTTATGAGTGTCCTGCCTGAACAGATATCAGGACAGAACCATAAAGGACAGGTTAGATGGTCTAAGGAGGCAATCACTTGGAAAAAAAGTGAACACCATGGAAGTGCTAATGATCCATAGCAACTAGCAGCAGCTGACCTTGGTATTCTACCATATACCCAGGGAATCCCCCCAAACTAGAGTCCTAGACTAAAGACAATAATGCTAATTGTGAGGCTCTTTTTTAAGAAGACTTAGGTGGTCCCCTCTCTCTCAAACACCCTGGACTGGGTTTTGTTTTCTTTAGGGAAGCTATTTCATGAACTATATCCCAGCTTCCATCCAACCTGTGGATTATCCCTGAGGCTTTGTGGATTGCGACTCGGCCGCTTCCCTCTTTGGACTGGCCATCTCTGCGGTCTCGGGCATACATATTCTTCTCTGAGAAATTGCAACCCTGGAAGTCGAAGTGGGCCGAGTTCAAGGAGATGAGCTTTGGATACAGCATGTTTTCCACCTGTTTGGGGAAGAAAAAGAGTCAACTCAGAAGGAGAGACAGAGACAAAGAAGGGACAAGGGGCAAGGAAGAGATGGCAAGTGTGGGACCATGTGACTTAATACACAGCAGATATCATCACAACCATCAACAGTAATCAGTGCTGCTTGAATTCTCAGGTTGATATTATTTCTAGGTGTTGGGAAGCAATTCTATTTTTTTTTTTTTTTTTTAGCTTTTAGCTTCTTCCCTCCAACAATGCAAAATTTTCCTTCTCTGGATTCCCAGACTCTAGCAAATACTATAATGCTGTTCGTTAGCTTGACCCTTAATAAAATGTCATGATATAATGATTGAGACATAAGGCCCCTGTGCCATCTTTTTTGGCCCTTCAAAGCTTTTTCAGAGGTAGTCTCCACAGGCCTTCCTGCTAGAAGGCTACCTAAGACTATCTGTTCATGGCCCAACCCCATCTCCTAACCAGCAACACTTCCCACACTCACATGACATTCTTAGGACTCCCACCTGGGTGCTCTCATCACTAAAGCTGTTTCCGTACATGAAACAGCCCCTTTTGGAAGCATGTCCATGCAGGTCCACATAGTAAGCAACACCACTCTCTTTTGGGGGGATGGTGTCAGGGGCTGGCTCTTCAAGCCCTGCAGACTGTTGTGGCATAATCCACACACTGTTGGGCTTCTGTTCTGCTGGCTCTGTTTGTTTCCAGCCTTCAGCGTTATCCCCATCGGCTGAGTGCCCACGGTGAGCTTCATTTTGGAGATTGTTGGCTTTCTCCAGGTCAGAAAGAGGAGCATCAGGAGGGAGACGGGGACTGGGCTGGTGCTCAGAGGAACTCTGGGAGTTCAGACGAGAGTGCACGTGGTGGTAGAGAAGCACAGCTTTGGCCCCATAGATGGCCGGGTGCAGGACGGCATCAGGCTTCAGGTACTGACGGTTCAGATTCACTCCACGTGAGTCTGTGCTATAGGAAAACAAGGACTGAAGCAGGGTCTAGAAGACTGGGCCACTGAAGGAGACACTAGAGTAGAGGAAAAGTAGACTGTAGACTGACTTATCAAATGAGAGGCTGAAGCTGCATTAGGAAAGAAAGAATTGAAGACAGGGCCTCTCTTTGATCTGCTGTCACCCTTACCATAGAAACCTAAGGAGCTTCCTCAGGGTAGCTGCCTCCACCCAGATGGGCCTGCAGTCATCCTAGTTTGGCTCCTTTCTGGAAGTGCCACTAGATGTGATCTCATGCTTTCTCAGGAAGATGAGATGGGCTTGCCTTTATTAGGGTGCAAGAGGATTGGGAACACAGCAGAAGCCAGAAGGCTGACAGCATTTCACTGAGATGCAGGGCATGAGGGGGAATGGGAACAGTCCAGACAGGCTGGGGAAGCCACTTACCGGTAGTGTCCCCGGACCACACCATCGGGGTTCAACATGGGAATCAGCTTAAAGACAAAGAGGCGACGTAGGGTTTGGGCCCGGGGGTCATCAGGTCGGAGAATGAAGTCCAGAAAGCCATTGAAGACAAAGCTAGATGGAGTCTCCCCTGGGTGTACTCTGCTGCTTAAGAAGAATATCTGAGGTAGAGAGAAGAGCAGACATTAAGTCAGTTACCCTATAGTTCTACTTTGACAGTATATGGGCGGTGGCATGGATGAGGCAGGAATAGCCGCTGGATTTCCAGTTGGCTGAGTCTGCCAGTGGAGCAGGGGCCATCACCGTTGCCACAGGTTGCAGGGAGAAGCTGTGTTCAAGATGCCTAGGGACAACATAGTCTTTATCAACAGTATCTTGTGCTAGAGAAAGGCCAAAGAACTACCTTTATGCTATTTCCACTCACCTTCTTGCCTGCGAAACGGAATGGTCGAGGGGTGCTGGTATCAGGAAATAGCTGCTCTAGACGGGGCTCTCGATCTTCTCGAAGCCCATGGCAGGAAGTAATCGTCAACAGATCTACACGAAGTCCATCCAGAGAATAGCAAAGGAGCTCCCGATGATAATAGATGGTATCCAGGGGGCTACAGGGAAAAAAAATCATTAAACCAGGAAAAGTCCCTAAAGTCCTAGCAAGAGGTAGGCCTTGTCACAGCCCAGGGGTGCCTTATAGTTCCTCATGATGCTAAAGGAGGCTAAGGATTTGAGTGGGTTTACGTTGCCAGAATGCAGAGTACAGGAAAGGGTGAATTTGTTTTTCCCCAGGTTATGGCTTCCTAGCATAGATGATGTAGTTGGAGCTGTTCTCTGTGCAGGGCAGATAAAAAAGGTGTGCTGAGTGACACAGTGGTGGCTAAACTATGGATAACTGATGAGAGCTGGGCTACTTAGAGGTCTGGGCAGGTGAAAGAGTGGAGGGTAGGTGTTGATATGCTGAGATCATGGTCATACAGAAACAGAGTTATCAAAGGTCCTCAAAGCCCCATTTTTTCTGTACAGAAAAAAAGACATAAAATTTTGCTTCAGAGCTCTAAGGGCAAATTCTAGAAGTATTGGGGGTGCTGTCTGATCCGGGACTGTGGCAGGAGTAAGAATGGGGTTGGCACCTGCTATGGGTAGGGTGATTCTCTGGAAAGCGCTGGTCTAGCTGGTTTAGCAAATCCTGGCAGTCACTGTAGGAGAAGGGGTAGCAGAAGGCGAAGAAGGTGGTGGCCCCACGGCCCTCTACGAAACGGTGAACAAAGGATAACACAAACTGCGTCTCTGTCATCTGAGGAGCAGAGGAGGAAAAGGGAGGGGCAACATGCCATCGTCATCAAAACTGAGTTCCTACTGGGACCACCAGGAACTGACCTCACACCCTTACTGCCTTTACCAGCTTCCCTCCCTCTGACACTTTCTATATGACAAGTGGCTCCTTCTAGGCTTCCTGAGGCAGGGGCTCATCTTAGACTCCAGCTAACACTGGAGGAAAAGCTGATACTTATACCTGCTGTCCCACCTGCCTCATACATTTATCAAGGAAAAAAATGCTTTACTTTCCTCTCTGTTTTCAGCGCTGAAGTCTTTCTTTCCTCCTCATGGAGAATTTACCTCAAAGGTGGGCCGGTCTCGAATGCGTTCCCAGCGTGGCCGTGTGGGCAGTGTGCGCACAAAGGGGGCCATGCCTTGGGAATACAGCTTGCTCTGCTTGTTCATGTTCATAATGTTGATCTTGATGAGTTTTCCTGGAGTTCCTCCCCGTACGCTAAAGTAGAACCATGACCTGAGGGCCAGAGTAAGCAAGATGTCATTATATATGGAAGGGTTGGAGATAGGATCTGTGGGAGAGCTGGAGCCAGCCAAACGGGAAAGGGCTATTTGGCAAGGAGAAAGGAGGGAAGACGGGTCAGAAGAGGATGGGCAGTATGCTGGTATGAACAGGTAAGTCAAAGGACTAACTGAAGCATGGGTTTGGAGACCCGGACATTCTCTCTCTCAGCCTTCTTCCACCCTCCGTTTCTTTCCACATACCTGTTCCCATTCTCAAATTCGGTTTCAGCACAGTCTGGTCGGGTCCACACATTGAATTCATAGTCAGGTGAAGAGGCAATGCCACTGGTCGGGGCTGACGCCCCACCTCCTACCCCTTCCCCATCACTGGACAAAGATTCCACCTTCTCCACGTGGGCTAGATTCCCCGAATCAAAGCGAGAACTGAACAGCAATCCCCCACAGCGCAGCTCCATGGTGGGGCTGGGAAAGCATCCTTCTGCCCCACTCTGGCCCTGAGAGCTGGGGAAAAACAAGGGTTGGGTTAAGAAGGAAAGGGAAGACAAATGGAAGCGTTTTTGGGGTATCTCTGGATAAGTAAGAGCTATTCTTAGGGAGTGCCCTACGAAACAAAAGACTCCACTTTAGAAAACACAGAAGTGGTCTTCCAGTAAAGGCCAAGAGAAAGCAGCACTCTGTACCCCCACACTGAGGATTGCAAATGACCTAAAGGGACCCCATTTTACTTTAGCTTGGCTGTTCCCAAATAAAATACTCAATGGCTTAACTATGTTGAAAAACGCTAGACTCTCAGCTGCTTCGCAGCCCGAAGATTAGAGAATATAATCAGAGAGGTCAGATTTCGCAGACCTAGCCAAGATACACTCACCACCATACATGGCCACCTTTAGAGATGGGCCGTTCTGGATCTCTGGCTCTGCACTCTCCAGCACAGAGCAGAGAGGAACCGAGGTTCTGAGTGTAAACGGGTAGTCCTCTCTCCAGCCTCGGCCCTCACAAGTACTGAACGGACATTCTGGTGTTGCTCCCCTGAGCCCTGGAAGGATTGGTTCTTGCTTTTTTGTTCCTACCTTATGCCTAGTATGGAGGAAAACTATAAAAGCGTGGCCTCTGCCAAGCCAAAGGCAACTGGGCTCACCTAGCGACTGGAGCTCCATTCCAGCCAGGACACGGGTCTGTTTCCACCCCCCTCCGTCCCGTAAGCACTGCACCCTGCGAAAGCTACTCTAGTAGTTGTGGGTGAGTAACGGGTGTTCTGAGCACCCCTAAAAGCAGTGGGCTGCTAGAGTCCCACTCAGGGGCAGGAGGCTGGCTTCTCTACCTTCGACTCCCGAAGGGCGGTCACACCAAGCGGGCTTGCCATGGGCAGGGTGGGACTGGGAGGCATGGGAGGGGGGTCGAGACGGACTACCGCGGCAGGGGTTTAGGCAGGCAGGGCCTAGGGGGTCAGGGGGTTGGCTGAGGAGCGGGGCAGGGGCGGGGCCGCGAAAGCCGGGCCGGGGGCGGGGAGGGGCGGGGTGGCCTTCGAGGGGCTCGGGCTGAAGGGGCTGAGAGAAGGGGGCGGGGCCGGAGCTGGCGAGGCCCGCAGTCCGCGCAGAGCCCCTCACCTCTCTCCGGGCCGGTGATCCCGCTCCCTCTCCCGCTAGCGAGGCCGCACCTCGGGCCCCGGCACCTGGGCCCTCCACCCGGGTCCCCAAAAAAACCCGAGCGCCGCGGTGCCGGGACCCCGCTCTGCCAGGAAACAAGAAGTCTCTCGCCTATTGGCCGCAACTGCAGCTGGCGACTCGCCCAGTAAAGCTCGCTATCATTGGTC